CAACCACAGTTCAAGTCCCAAACCTGATGGCTTGAAAATTACAAGTAGGGGCCAGCAGATGGCATGGTGGTTAAAAGTCATTGTATTCCCACACGGCCAACTACAGTTCGAGTCCTGAACCTGGTGGCTTGCTTTCTCACTTTCTCTCTCTTTCTCTCTCTCCCTCTCTGGTCAAATTGAAATTAAAAAATGGATAAATAAAGTTAAATAAAATAATTTTTTGTAAGTTCTTTTTTTTTTTTTTTTGAAGAGGTTTTTGCTATGGGGAGTGTGCGCTCGCCAGACAGACAGAGAGAGACAGAGAAATAGAAAGTGAGAAATCACCCCTCAGGGGGGATGGCCATGCCACAATCCCTTCTCTTCCATTCTCCTCTCGGGACTTTGGGCATGCACGCACACACGCCTGGCATGAGTTTAAACCACCAGGTCCAGGACTCGAACCATGGTCAACTACATGGGAGTCCAGCGACATAGCCATTATGCTAACTGCTGGTCCCAAATAAAATAATAATTAAAAAAAAAAAAGTGAAGCCTGTGCATGTAGCCCTCTCTGCCAGAACTCCCTTCCACCCTGTTATCTCCCAGTGGCCCTTCACAGCAAGCTCAAATGCCCTCTCCTCCAGGAGGCCCTCTCTGACCTCCTGACGGTCAGATACCTCTTCTGGGCTCCCACAGCCTCTAGTAACCCCTCATCTCGGCCCACTCATAGCACCATCTGGAGCCAGTTCTGCCTGCTCACCAGATGAGACCTCGCGGGCAGGCCCAGGGGCTTTCTTGATGACCAGTGTCTCCCTGGCCTCACCCAATACAGACTAGGCATGAACAGAGCAGTAAATATGGATGTTGTTGAAATATATGGCACATTTTCTAGGCTGTTTTCCGTAATCTGCTCCCCCTAGTGACCCACATTTTCTACCAGAAGAGGTTTCCTGAGCCCCCTCCTCCCCCAGTACTCGCTTCCCCTTTGAGCAGTGCCTCTGCTTTCAAGCTGAGGAGCCCTTCCTGGAGGACAGCCACCGCCCTGGCCCTGGCCCTTCTCTTTCTCCCTCTCATAAAACCCCTCCCAGCTTCCTCCTTATGGGAGACTGTCTGATTTGTCTCTTTACTTGAAGGCCACCTCCCTTCCTGCCCTCCCCCCCACCTTCCTGTACCCCCCACCCAGATCCACATGCCTGGGATCTCACCTGCAGAGCAGGCCTGGGAAGACCCCTCTGCAGGGTCAGGCCTGGCTGTGCAAGGAACCCACGGGGTGTGGGGAGCAGGGGCAGGACTTGGTGTTCCCACACCAGCAGCTTTGGTGCCACCGCCCCTGCCCTCAGCCTGCCGTGGGGCCCGGCCTGGTACCCACCTTGGAGACCTTTGGTAGCGAAGTGCAGGTCGACGGGGTGGGACCAGTAGGCCATGTCCCCTACCTGGGGGGTGTCCACCTGCGTTTGCCCCTCTCGCAGGCCCGATAGGAGCTTCCATGCTGCCCCTGTGGTGAGAGCCAGGACACAGATGGGGTGAGGGGTGGGAGGCAGCCATCAGGAAGGGGGTGCTACGGTGCGATAGGACCCTGCTCCTCCCTGGCATTTGGGGGTAGGAGTTACAAAGTATGGACTCTGGAGCCAAATGTCTGGGTCCAGATCCTGGCACTCCTCTTCCTGCCTATGTGACCTTGGGCTAATGACCTTTCTCAGCCTTGGCCCTCCCCCCCACCTGAAAAATGAGCAAATAATAATGCAGTCCTCCTATTTTCACGAGAGGACTAAGTGAATTAATATATACAGGAAGCACTTGGAACTGCCTGGGCAGAGCAAGGGCTGGGAAGGTGCGCTCACCGGCACTTAGAGGCCTGCGCCAAGAACGAGGGGCCGAGGGTGCCCTCCAGGAGCGCAGCATGAAAGGCCCGTGGTAACGACAGAAATCCCACTTGGGGCACAGACTCGTGAGGACACCTCTGTGCTCACTAACTGCCAGATGCTCTGCTGGGTGCTGCAGGCAATGTGCTAAGGTGAGCTGCCCTGGAGGCCTCTCTGATCCACCCTATCCCCAGCCTGCAGACTCTGCCAGCCCCAAGGCCCTGGCTTGTGCTCTCTCCCTGAAGTTCTATCACTGTCCCCCTCCTCCTCTACACTTTAGCCTCAATGTTCCCACTTCTTTATTTTTTTTATTCATACATTAAATTGCTATACATCATTTAGATTGTGAAGAGACTTTACCCAGTACCCGCTTCTTTTTTTTAGGGGAGAGATTTTTGCTATGAGGCATGTGCGTTCACCAGAAAGAGAGACAGAGAAACAGAAAGCGAGAAATCTCCCCCCTCAGGGGGATGGCCACTCCACAATTCCTTCTCGTCCATTCTCCTCTCGGGATCTTGGGCATGCATGCACACACGCCCAGCGTGAGTTTAAGCCACCAGGTCTAGGACTAGAACTGCGGTCAACTACATGGGAGTCCAGCAACATAGCCATTATGTTAACTGCTGGTCCCGAGAGATTTTTGCTAGGGCATGTGTACTTGCTGGAGAGACAGACAGACGGAGAGACAGAAAGTGAGAAGTCACCCCCCAGGGGGGATGGCCATGCCGCAGTCCCTTTTCCTCCATTCTCCTCTTGAGATTTTGGGCACGCACGCACAAGTGCCAGGCCTGAGTTTCAAGCCTCTGGGTCTGGGACTCAAACCAAGGTCAGCCATGCAGGAGTGTAGTGATGTAACCATTATGCCATCTGCTGGTCCCAATGTTCCTACTTCTGTTCTCCCACCTTAGGGCCTTTGCACTGGTGCTTCCCTCTGCCTCAAGGCTCAGCTCCTAGGTGTCACCATCCCTGGCTTGTTTTCATTCTTCAGAGCTCAGCTCAAGTGCTGCAGTCATAGGAGACCGTCCCCCATTCAAAAGTTCGGGTGGTATGGTGGTTAAGGCAGCTGGACTACCACATGGCTGACCGTGGTTTGAGTCCCAGACCTGGCAGTTTGCTCTCTCACTTTTCTCCTCTCTCTCTGATCAATTTCAAAAAATAATAATAATAATAAAATAATGACAATGAATACAATTATAAATAATTTTTTGAGAAGATTTTGCTATAGGGCGTGTGTGCTTGCCAGAAAGACAGAAAGAGACAGAGAGATGGAAAGCGAAAAATCACCCCCCAGGGGGGATGGCCACGCTGCAATCCCTTCTCCTCCATTCTCCTCTTGGGATCCTGGGCACACACACACACATGTGCCTGGCATGAGTTTAAGCCACTGGATCTGGGACTCGAACCATGGTCGACTACATGGGAGTCCAGCAACATAGCCATTATGCTAACTGCTGGTCCCCCCTAAAAAGTTAAGTCCTATCATAGCATCCATTTCTTTTCTTTGGAGCACCACCACTATCTACAGTTTATTCATTTTTTTCTGTTTCCCCTACTATGACCCCAAGAGAGCAGGGACCTCAAACTGAACTCTTGGTATACATAAGGTGCTCAATAAATGTTTGTTGAATGAATAAGTGATTCTAGTAGGTGGGTGCTAATATGACCCCCATTTTACAGGTAAAGAAACAGGCTCTGAGAAGGAAAGTCACTTGGACGTGCATTTCATGAACATTTATTGAGCTCCTACTGTGTGTTAAGCACTGTTCTCCATGCCGGGGATACAGCAGTGATGACAGCAGACTAAAGTCCTAGAGTAGAACTGGATTCAAACTCAGCTCTCACTGCAGAGCCAAACCTTGCACCCAGCGGCCTCAGAGCTCTCTTGGATGAATACCCCCAACAACTCTCTAAAATAATACAAATCATGTTAGTCATTACATCCTTCTGAGTTGGGCAAGGGAAGCACCGGGTGCTGAGTTTCTGTGTACAAGACTTCCCAGGAGCCCTATGGAGGACAAATGAAGAAACCAAGGCTTCATGAGGGAGCAGCATCTGCCCAAGATCAAAGAGCAGGTGGAGTCCAGATTGGAAACTAATTCTGATTCCAGAGCCTGCCTCTTTGCCACTTGACTAGAGGGTCTCAGTTTCCCAGGGAATCTTAACTGCCACTGTATCTGTCCATAAAGTCCAAAAAGCCCTGGGCCTAAGGGACGATAGTGGCATCTGTTAAACGGGCATTTTTTTTGTGTGCCAGGCAACATCATATCTGGGGCTTTTTAATGTTCTTCTTTTAAAGTTTACTTATTTCTTCCATGAGCAAGAGAAAAAGAGACAGTATTCACAACAGGGTCTTGACACCACCATCTATCCCCCAGCCTCAGCCACGTGGGGTCTAACTGCATTAACCACTAGTCGAAGCCCTTAAAATAGGGCCGAGATTAGTAAGTGTTTGCCTGGCTTATGTACAATTTTGATGGAGTCTTTCTTGTAAAGCCCTCACAGTGGGCAGGTGGGGGAGGGTGTCTGGTGGCACAATGATAAACTTGATGCTCTGCAAGGCTGACCCTTGTGGGAAGGTTCTTGGTTCTTGCCCACAGAGACCTCCCTGAAGGTGCTGAGCCCATTTGTACCCATGATCCCTGCATAGTCAGCCATGTGGGATCCAACTGCCCTAACCACCAGGGCACAGGCTGGCCCCATAAGATTATTATTCCATTGTACACACAGGAAAATCTAGGCAAAAAGGCATACCCAAAGTCCCATAATTAACAAGCAACAACTGGGGGCTGGCAGGTGGCATGGTAGTTAAGGGTGCTGGACTCCCACATGGCTGACCATGGTTTGAGTCCCAAACCCAGTGACTTGCTTTCTCAATTTGTCTTTCTCTCTCTCGCTCAGTGCCTCTCTGGTCAAAATTAAGCAAATTAAGTTAAATAAAATAATTATTTAAGAAAAAAAAAAGCAACAGCTGGGGCCAGCAGGTGGTATAATGGTTAAAGCACTGGACTCCCACATAATGGACCATGATTTGAGATCTGGATCCGTTGGCTTGAAACTCATGCCAAGTGCATGTACGTGTGTGCCCGAAATCCTGTGAGTAGAATGAAGGAGAGGGGATTGTGGTGTGGCCATCCCTTCTGGGGGTGGGGGGGTGATTTCTCACTTTCTCTCTTTCCATCTCTGTCTCTCCAGCTAGTACATGCACCCTGTTGCAAAAATCTCTCGAAAAAAAAAAAAGCAACTGCTTCTGAACTGAGGCAGTCTTGCCCTTCCCGCCATCACCGTGCTGCCTTGTACCTGCTATTAGCTTCATTTTCAGACAAGGAAACTAAAGCTCAGAGAGGACAAGTCCAAAGGCCCCCAGTTAGTAGGGGGAGTCAATATGTGAACCCCTACCTGGCAGCCTGTGACCCTAACCACCCTACCACTGTGCTATAGCGTCTACCACTCTACCACTCTACCACTGTGCTATAGCGCCTCAGATTCAGAAGCACGAAGAAAGGGGCCTCCCTGGTCCCTTCTGTGACTGTGTGGATGGACTTGGATGACTGACAGAATGTGGTTCGTACCTTGTCACAGAGAATTATGAATACCAGAGGGTGACCTTCCTCTGCAAATCTGGAATAGAAACTTCCACTTTACAACAAGAACTCAATAAATGGAGACTGTTAACCAAAGAATTATTGAGATGGGTGAGGGACCCAGAGTACTCCTGAGAGGGGGAAATGGAGTCCAAACAGGAGATGTAGGGTCATCGAGTGTTTTCAGGACTGGAGGTGTGCGTATGGGGTTGAGTCGATAGTCCCATGTCCCTAGGGGCTGGGTGTTGAGAGTGGGAGCCAGAGACCCCAGAAAATGGGATGAGAAACGAGACGAAGGAAACCTGAGACTCCTGTGGACAGAGTGTGGGCTGGGCCAAGTGTCCTGAAAGTTGATGAAAGATGATGATCAGAGGTGGAATTGGGGGTCAAGGAAGGAATCCAGAGCTCCTCGGCTGGGAGTCTTGTTGGGAAATGAACCAGCCTGGGGAATACCTGTGTGGATGCCCCACTTGCAGAAGAGGCTACTTTCAGAGAAACCAGTGGCTCCCACGATCTGCCCAATCACATGCACTTCGGCCATGATCCTGAGAGGGGAAAATATAATCACATATACTATAATATAAGCAATATTACCACTGGCTGACAGATGGGGAATCAGGCCCACCAAGTAAGGGGCAGTACTAGGATTCCAAGTCAGTTTTGTCAAACCTCTGTGACTGCAGCCTCAATCACAAATTCTACCTTTCCAGAAGAGCCCAGGAGAAACTGTGGAGCGAGTAAGGTCCAGGGTTGCAAAGCTCTGCCCCACCTGAAGCAACCCAGGCTCAGTCCTGCGGAAAGCCCCGCCCCTGGAGCCTCTGGTCCCGCCCACAAGCACCAAAGCCCCACCTCCTCCCTTCGGATCGGCTCCCAAGTTCCTCTAAGCGCATGCGTCTTTACTTCAGGGCCTTAGCCCCGCCTCGAAGCGCCGCGCATGCGCTAGTCCTACCTTAGCGTCCGTAACGGTTAGGAGAGGCGAAGGCGTCAGAGTGGATTGTGGTTCATGGGCCTGATCTGTCTCTCTCTCTGCAGTCGCCGACTAGGCCTGGCTCGCGCCTCTCCCAAGACCGTCTTGGCAGCAAAGCGATACGAGGCGCGACACCTCCGTAGCTGCGCTCGCCTTGGGTGCCCTGGCTGTTGCTCGGGCAACAGCAGGCTCTTCCCCTGGCTTTGGTCCCGCCCTTCGCGCCGCTGATTGGGGTTAGCCGCCGGGGGGGCGGGGCGAAGCTGTGATGGACATTTTTCCCGTACGCTTGCTCTACTTTGGAAAAGTAGCGTCTCGCCAGTCTCCACCTAGGGTTCCCTCGTTTGGGGTGTGGTTGGACAGCTGCCATGTTGGGGGTGGCGGTGTTAGTTGGAGCGCCAAATGTTTTTCCCAGGTATTCTCTTTACAAAATAAGCAAGTCCATCGACGTTCTGTGCCCCGCCCGCCGCATTCAGCCCAAAAGACTCTGGAGTCTAGAACCGTGAATAAGACAAGCCGGGACAAGGGAGAATTCCTGCCAGATCATTGTATGCATCCCCCACTCCCCTGCCCTGTAACGAAAAGGAAACGAAAATCCTTCCTCATTCTGAGACTGACAACTTGGGGAATGAGTTTCCCTTCCCTTTTCAGAGTTCTCCCTGGGTTTCTCTAGGACCGTTGAATTCAACTTCCTTCTCAAAGTTACCTACATGTTCTTCAGGGTTATGGCTGGTTCTCTGCTAGGGGGTGGTGAGGGTGAGGATGAGAAATAAGGAACCAAGACCTTTTATCTGCAGAGAATCCTGTCCCTGGTAATTTGCTCTGTGACCCTGGGTAACTCGAGGTCATCCATAAAGTGAGAGCATAGACAGGGAACTGAGGCAGAGGTACTCACAATCTGAATTCCTGAGTAGTGTTGTCTCTCACTCTGTCTAACTGATCCTTTGTCCCTTATTCATCTTGGACTTGGAGTCTGGAGAGTACTTATTCTGTACTCCCCCCAACTTGAGCTTTTTTGGGCTTGATTCTTGTTTTTTTTATTATTATTATTATTATTACTTAAATCATTATTTAATCACGTATTTTTTAAAGAAATCATTATTTTTATTTAACTTTATTTATTTATTATTTATTTTAAATTTGATCAGAGAGGGACAGAGAGAGAGAGAGAAAGTGAGAAAGCAAGCCACCAGGTCTAACACTCAAACCACGGTCGGCCATGTGGGAATCTAGCACCCTTAACTGCCACGCCACCTGCCAGCCCCAGTATTTTTTAAAAGAATGATTTATTTAAGGTGTATTTATTCGTTCATTTACTTTAATCTGACAAGAGGGAGAGACACACACACATACACAGGGGGGGGTTGGGGGTGTGGGGGTGTCCCTCTTGTTTATTATTTTTAATTTGCTATAAGCATGTGTGCTGACTAGAGATAGAGAAGGCGAGAAAGCAGCCCTCTCCCCCCACCAGGGATAGGCGACTCTGCAGTCTCTTCTTCTCTCTTGGGATTCTGGGTTTACATTTACACGTGCCCAGCATGTTTTTTAAGCCGCCTGGTCCAGGACTCTCTCTCTCTCATCTCTCTCTCTTTATTTATTTATTTTAAAATTTTATTTATTATTTTTTAAATTTGAACAGAGAGTGACAGAGAGGGAAAGTGAGAAAGCAAGCTGCCAGGTCTGGGACCTGAGGACCCATGGTCAGCCATGTAGGACTCCAGTGCCTTAATGACCATGCCACCTCACCTCCCTGTCATTGGTCCGGCCCCTGGTCCAGGACTCTTAATGCAGTCTGCCATGTGGGAGGGATCCTACTCCTCTTACTCCCTACTAGTAAGCAGAACAAGAAAGAGTCACCAACCTAGGACTGTGGTAACCCACCGTGGTGCAGTGGTAACCCACTGTGCAAAAGCAGCAGGATCCCTCACAGTAACCACCGTTGGCATTCTCTGCAGGTCTGCCTGAGACAGGCCAGGACCTTGCATCAATGCCCGGCAGGCAGGCTCAGACCCTGTGGAGAGTGCTCATTGCTCTGTCTCTCACATGTGCATGCTCTTTCGTGAGTAAAAGAACATGAAAAATGATAATCACCCAGTCTATAGGGAGGGAGCAACATTTCAACAGGATACCATTTATATAAATAAAATAATTCAATAAAACATTTCACTAATAGATACATTCATTTTTTACTGTGGTTTTGGTTTTGCCATAGGACATGGGTGCTTGGCAGCTTTCAGAGAGACAGTGAGAAGGAAAGTGAGCATCACCACCCAGGGGAGATGACCACGCCACAATCCCTTCTCTGTTCTCCTCTCAGGATTGGGCAAGCACACACACTCGCACCCAGTGTGATTTCTCAAGCCACTGGGTTTAGGGACTTGAACCATAGTCTACTGGCCATGTGGGAGTCTAGTGCCTTAATCACCACGCCACCTACATGCCCCGATAGGATAGATATATTTAAAAGCTTCTGTTTAGGGGCTGGCAGATGGTTTGGTTGGTTAGGGCCACTGGACTCCCACATAGCCAACTGTAGTTTGAGACCTGGCAGCTTGCTTTCTCACTTCCTGTCTCTCCTTCTGTCTCTCTTTAGTCAAATTAAAAATAAGTAAATAAATAAAGTCAAATAATTCTTAAGAAAAAAAAAAAACCTTCCATTTATTGAGTGCTTCCTTTGTGCCAGCCACCATCAACTAGTCATTTTACATGCATTATTTCTATGAATATATATTCCTAGACATCTCACAGAGTAGGTATTAGAGCTGTTTGTTTAAGCTGAAGAAACTAGGGCAACATCTTTTGTCTTAAGCTAAATTGATTATAGATCTGTCTGCCCCTGTAACTAAAGCTTACGTTCTTAACCTCTCTGCTGTTCTGTGTCTCTTAGGTACATGTTCTGCTGTCTTAGGGGAACATTAACCTGCTTGGGTGTCATCCTAGATTCCATTTTTTTCCCACATCCAACTAGTCAATCAAGTCTACAAATGCTCCTTCTTTAAATGAGTTCCTTCCCCAATTCTCTCTCTAAAGAAAAACATTTTCTTCCCTACTTGTTGATATTAGTACTATGAAGGAAATGGGGGGACCAGCAGTTGGCGTAATGGCTATGTCGCTGAACTCCCATGTAGCTGACCATGGTTCGAGTACCAGACCCAGTGGCTTAAACTCACGCCAGGCATGTGTGCATGTGTGCCCAAGATCCCAAGAGGAGAATGGAGAAGAAGGGATTGCGGCCGCAATAGTGATTTCTCACTATCTCTCTGTCTCTCTCTTTCTGGTGAGCGCACGCGCCCTATAGCAAAAACCTCTCCAAAAAAACAAAAAAAAATGGGGCCCAGCAGATGGTGTAATGGTTATATCTCTAGACTCCCACATAGTTGACCACAGTTCAAATCCCAGACCTAGTGACTTGAAAGTCACACCAAGTGCATGTGAATGTGTGCCCCAAATCCCAAGAGCAGAATGCAGGAGAAGGAATTGCAGTGTGCCATCCCCCCCATGAGGATGACTTCTCGCTTTCGGTCTCTCTATCTCTCTCTAGTGAGCACTCACACCCAAGATCAAAAAAAAAAAAAAAAAAAAAAAACGGGACCCGCAGGTGGCGTGGTAATTAAGGCACTTGACACTCCACTCCCACATGGCTGACCAAGGTTCGAGTCACAGGCCTAGAGGCTTGCTTTCTCACTTACCCTCTCTGTCTTTCTCTCTCTCTCTCTCTGTGTCTGTCTCTGGTCAAATTAAAATAAACGAATAAATAAAATAAATAATTCTAAAAAAAAAAAAAAGGAAAGAAAAAGAAAATACCTAAAAAAGGAACAAGCCCAAAAAACAAAAAACGGGACCAGCGGGTGGCATAATGGCTATGTCTCTGGACTTCCCTGTAGTTGACTGTGGTCGAGTCCTGGACCCAGTGGCTTAAATTCACACCAGGCGTGTGTGCACGCGTGCCCAAGATCCCAAGAGGCAAATGTAGGAGAAGGGATTGTGGCATGGCCTTCCCCCCGGGGGATGATTTCTTGCTTTCTGTCTCTCTGGTGAGTGCATGTACTCCATGGCAAAAACCTTTCCAAAAAAGAAAAAAGAAAAGAAAAAAGAAACCATATACACTAGCATTAAAAAGGGAAAAAAAAAATACAATTTGGGACCATCAGTTGGCGTAATGGCTATATTGCTAACTCCCATGGAGTCAACTGGGGTTCAAATCCTGGATCCGGTGGCTTAAATTCACACCAGGTGCGTGTGCATGCGTGTCCAGGATCTCGAGAGGAGAGTGTGGAGGAGAGGGGATTGTGGCATTGCCAACCCCTCTGGAGGATGATTTCTTTCTTTCTGTCTCTCTGTCTTTCTCTGTCTTTCTGGTGAGCGTGCAAGCCCTATAGCAAAAACCTCTCCAAAGGGGGAAAAATACAATTTTTTTTTTAAATAAAGAAAATGGTTCACAGGTCAACAGCCAGGATTTATGTCTTGCACTGCCTCTTCTGTGTGACCATCAGAATCTCTGTGCCTGTATCCTTTTTTTCTTTTTTTTGGAGAGGTTTTTGCTATAGGGCGTGTGCGCTCACCAGACAGAGAGAAACATAGAGATAGAAAGCAAGAAATCACCCCTCAGGGTGGATGGTCACACCGCAACCCCTTCTCCTCCATTCTCCTCTCGGGATCTTGGGCACGCATGCACACGCGCCCGTCGTGAGTCTTAAGCCAACGGGTCTGGGACGCGAACCGCGGTCAACTACGTGGGAGTCCAGCAACATAGCCATTACGCTAACTGCTGGTTCCCTGTGCCTGTATCCTTATGAAAGGGGAATGAATGAAAGTACCCACCTTACAGGATTATTGTCAAGATGTAATCATTTACTCTATGAAGCTGTTATGTGTCCATAGACTCTTGGGCACACCTCCCTTTAGTAGGTAGAACCCAAGGCTCCCCTCACCCCCACCCATCCCCACCCCCAGAGTGTGGCTGGACTTCATAACTTGGATCTAACCAACAGAGTGCAGTGGCAGTGATGCTCTGTGACCAGTGAAGTCACCGAACAAGGGGAGCATTGCTCAGTGTGCACCATGCACATGAGGGCCCATCACCAGGCCACGTGGGAATCCATGCTCTTATCCCCCAAATGTGTGATGAGTGCCCACTCTGTGCCACGCCGCCGTTGCAGGCCATGAGGCACAGCAGTGAACAAGAGAGATCAAATCTCAGCCCTAGGGACCAGCAGTTAGCGTAATGGCTGTGTCGCTGGACTCCCATGTAGTCAACTGCGGTTCGCTTCTGGGACCCAGTGGCTTAAACTCACGTTGGGCGTGTGTGTGAGCGTGCGTGCCCAAGATCCCAAGAGGAGAATGGAGGAGAAGGGATTGCGGCATGGCCATCCCCCCTGGGGGGTGATTTCTCGTTTTCTGTCTCTCTGTCTCTCTCTGTCTGTCTGGCAAACACACGCGCCCTGTAGCAAAAAAACTCTCAAAGAAAAAAACCAAAGAAAAAAACAACTCAGCCCTGTGGAGTTGGCGCTGATGTGGGAGGTTTCAAACTACCAACTAAAGAAACATAATGTGTTTCATAGTGATACGAAAAGGCCCCCAGTGCAAGATCAAAGAGATGTGAGTAACAGGGTATCCCTCTGGGGTAAACATCCTGCCCCCTCTGCTTGTCCTCTACCCTCCTGTGTGTTTCCCTGCCTCTGTCATCCGCCAGAAACTCTGGCTGAGCCCAGTGCACGCACAGACGCCATCTGTTCTCCCCAGGAGTGGGGCCCGTGCCAGTTCCAGCGTCTGGACTCTTGGCATGGAGCCCTGGAGCTCCAGAGCAAGGGAACTCCGGCCGGCCCCACAGCAAGCTGGGGAATCCTCAATCTGGCAAGATGGAGGGCTTTTGGGAAGATATGCAAGCTGGTGGGCTCCCTGAAGGAGGTAGAGGCTTACAGGGTAAGGGGAGTCCTCTAATTAGACAGATGAAGGTAGATGCAAATTATACGAATAACCACTGTCAGGCATCTTTAAAGTGCTTGCTTTGCCAAGTTTTGGGCAAATGCTGGATATTTGTTCTCACACTTCATCTAAGCACTTTGTGTATGTGTTATCGCGTCTAGGAGGTAGGGGTATGTTCCTCATTTTACAGATGAAGAAATTGGGGTTTGGAGAGATGAGACACATATCAAATGCCTTACAGAGCCTGGAAAAGAAGCCAGGCCTGTGTGTGGGCACCCAAATGCTGATTCGTGAGCACCATCTCACCTCCTGATACTCTGCCCAGCCCCATCCTGGATCACCCTCCTCAGCCTCCTTCCCTGGAAGCCACCACACCACCTCTGCCTCTGCTTCCTCCCCTCCTCTTGGGTCAACAAGGAGTGCAAGCCAGGGTTACAACCTGCTGGTCCTACTGTGAGTTGTTTACTGGGGCCAAGAGAGTATACATCTCTGTGCCTCAGTTTCTTTCTTTCGCTCTCTTTTGCCAGCTGGTGCATGTGTTTGAGAGAGCGCAAGCACACGCACTCCCAATGGGGCAGGGTCACACACGGCAGTCCCCTTTTCTCCCCTTCTACATCCCATCAGGATTTGGGGTAGGCAAGCTCCTGAGGTAGGCATGTTGTTTTTTTTTCGGGACGTGAACCGCGGTCGACTACGTGGGAGTCCAGCGACATAGCCATTACGCTAACTGCTGGTTCCCAGGTAGGCATGTTTTCAGCCTCCTGGGAGTCAAGCACGGTCATCCAGGAGGGGCCCACTTTCTATGGACTGTGCTTCACCTCTGCTGCCAGGTGGGCTAGACTGTTCTTTTTTTTTTTTTTGAGAGTTTTTTCACTATAGGGCGGGTACGCTCGCCAGACAGAGAGAAACAGACAGAAAGTGAGAAATCACCCCCCAGAGGGGATGGCCATGCCGCAATCCCTTCTCTTCCATTCTCCTCTCGGGATCTTGGGCACGCACGCACACGCGCCCGGCGTGGGTTTTAAGCCACTGGGTCCGGGACGGGAACCGCGGTCGACTACGTGGGAGTCCAGCGACATAGCCATTACGCTAACTGCTGGTTCCCTAGACTGTTTCTTTATCTGCACTCAGTGAGCTGGTGATGTGCTCCTAGGAAGTAACCTAACCTCTCTGTGCCAGTTTCCTTCCATAAAATAAACTATAAAAGTGTTACTTGAGGACCAGCAGATTGCGTAATGGTTCACTGTAGTGGACTGAGGTTCCAGTCCTGGACCCGGTGACTTAAAACACATGGGGTGCGTGTTTGTGCATGCCCAAGATCCTGAAAGAGGAGAAGGGATTGAGGGCAGCCATCCCTCCTAGGGGGTGATGTCTCGCTTTCTGTCTCTGTCTCTCTCTCTCTGGCGAGCACACACGCCAGGTAGCAAAAAAAAAAAAAAATCTCTTTAAAAAAAAAGCGTCGGGGGAACAGCAGTTAACGTAATGGCTATGTCGCTGGACTCCCACGTAATCGACCGCGGTTCACATCCCGGACCCGGTGGATGAAATCTCACGCCGGGTGCCTGTGCGTGCGTGCCCAAGATCCTGAGAGGAGACTGGAGGAGAAGGGATTGCGGTGTGGCCATCCCCCCTGGGGGTGATTTCTCGCTTTCTGTCTCTCTGTCTCTATCTGTCTGTCTGGCGAGCACAAGCACCTTATTGCGAAAACCTCTCCAAAAAAAAAAAAAAGAAAAAAGAAAAAAAAATTGTACTGTATTGTAATTATCCTTGATCTTCATCAGGATATGATTGCTTTTGAGCAAAATTGCCCCTGGACTGTGCACGCCCTGAAGGTAAGGCCAGTGTCTGTCCTGGTAACCCTGAGTGTAGACTGGATACAGTCCCAACCTGAGGGAGGTACTGGTAAGCGTTGAGATGAGCTTGGTTGGTGCTGTATCTCATCTGAGCCTAAGTTCTCTTCTGTAGTCAAGGTGTAAACATGGAGACTAGACTCACTTCTCTGCAGGATTTGTGTCACTGGTGTTCTGAGGAAAAGGTGTGTAAGTGGATCAGCAAAGCACTTAAGTTAAAGCTGCTGCAATTACTGAGCAATGGGGGACAGAGAGGAGGCGGGGCCAAGCCAGGAAGGCCCAGGAAAACGGGGCATCCCCTTCTCCTCCTCCGAACTGCTGCGCTTGAGACTGGACTCAGGGGGAAGGGACCGCTGTCCTCCGCTACCCACTCCTGCCAACCCCGCACCCAGGGGTGTGTGGCCGAGGCAGGCACCTAGGGCCTGGGCGCCGACGACGGCCTTCAAAGCCCCCTCCCTGGCCGCCGAGGAGGGTGGAGCCAGGAGGCCGTCGCCCCGCCCCATCCCAGCCCCCGCGCGCAGCGGGCCGGGGTCTCTGAGATCTGAGCCCCGCGGAACACGCAGACCTCGTGGGCGCATCGGGCACCGGCTCCCGGACGGCGGGATCGCCGAGTTCGCCCACCCCGCGGGCGGCAGGTCTGGCAGGTGTCGGTGCTGCGGCCCAGGAGTGCAAGTGTTTTGACCGTGGGCGGTGAGTGAGAGGCGGAGGTGATCCTGGCGTTGGGGATCCGGAGTGTGTGCTCAGGTTGGGGTTTTATGGAGAGAGGTGTGTAAAGGAGGATTCAGGTAAGCCAGGAGGTGTTGGAGAGCAGGGGGGGGGGGGGGTCTGGGGGGGTGTGGGTCGTGTAGAGAGGAGGGATGGGTGGACAGGGTATTTCGGGCAGGTGTGTAAGGGATGGAAACGGGAGAATCTTGGGGTGCGTGTGTGGGGGAGGGTTTCTGATGCTGTTAGGAGTGTGCAAGGAGTCACTTGCGATAAATGTGTAAGGCTGCAGGTCTGAGAGGGGTTGTCTTCTGGGAGCTGAAGTTTGGGGCAAGTACAGGGTCCTTTGGGAGATGCATGTGCGGAGAGGGGGCTGGGCTGGCAGGGATAGAGCTGCACGGTGTGTGGCGTGTGTTCTAGAGGCCAGTTCCAGGTGGCACTAGGGTGCGAAGATGTGTGTGTGTGTACCTGGGAGGGATGTGTGGGCCAGATCCAGTGTATGTGGGGGGAGGTTTGGGGTGGGGAGGGGTGGAAGGCATGGTGTGGAATGGTGCAGCTGGAATGTGGTTGCTGCCTGAGGAGACAGAAGCCAGGAATTGAATGTCCAAACCCCAGAGTTCTCTTTGCAGCTTGAGCCAACCTCCTACACTCTCTGGGCCTTCGTCTTTCTATCTGTTATATGGGTCTTCAAGGCCACTGAGCTAATATCTGAGTGTCTCCAACTTAAGAAGCCAGGGAATTGGAGGGAGGTGAGATTTTTACAACTTGTATTTTTCTTTCCCCTACTCCCAGGAAACCCCTTCTGGAGTCTCCCTGGTCCATGGACAACCCTAGCCTTCGTGAGCTTCGGCAGCCTCTGCTGGCAGGCCGGGATCCCCCTGTCCAGAAGCCTGGCAAGCCTGAATTGGGGGCCCCTGTAGGAGAGACAGCCTTTGCAGAGTCCCCGAAGGGCTGGCAGTTCCTACCACCACCTCTTCCCTCTGTGAGTGCTAGTCTGGGGGATCCAGGGACACCCAACCTTGAGGTAGGTGCCCCAGGCCTTAGTGAAAAACCAAAGGAGGGGGCAGGAGGTATACCCAGATACGGCCAGCATCTGGCAGGCTGGCAGCTCGGGGGATCTGCCTTGGGTTTGAATTCTCACTTGTGTGGGCTTCTGGGATTTCCAGTTAGGATTCTTCCCGCTGCGTCTCCTTTGGTTTGGTTTCTTTACCCTTTTCTTTCCAGATCTGTGTCTTATCTTCATTCCCTGGCTTCTGGCGCTCTGCCTTCCCTTCTCTCGATCTTTTTATCTGTCCATTTTTCTCCAGAGTCTCCACACCTCTGGTCTCAGTCAGCTCTGGTCACTATTTCTTCAAGTTACTATTATTTTTTTTAAAGATTTTTGCCATAGAGTGCATGTGCTTGCTGGAGAGAGGAGAAAGAGAGAGAGAGAGAGAGAGAGATAGATTACTGCCCAGGAGGGATGGCCATGTCACAATCCGTTCTCCTGGGATCCGGGACATACCCGCACGTGCCCAGCATGATCTTCAATACACAGGGCCTGCGACTGTCACCGTGGTTGGCCATGTGGGAGCCCCGCGCTGTAGCTACTCCGCCACTTGCTGGCCCCTTCAAGTCATTCATATTTATTTATTAGTTTTTGCTATTGAGTCTGTGTGTTCACCAGAGACACAGAAAGGGAAAGTCAGAAATCACCTCCAGCAGGGTGATTTAATCTCTTTAAAACAAGTTTTGTGAGCTATTTGTTACTGGTAATTTTTTTCTTTTTCTTACTGTTTTTTTTTCCATAAGGCCTGTGTATTCATCAGAGACACAGGGAGGGAAAGGGAGAAATTACTCTCCTGGGGGAATAGCCACACCACAATCCCTTCTCCATTCTCCTCCTGGGATTTTGGGTACGCACTGGTCTCCGAGTCACCAGGTCTGAGACTCAAATCACGGTCAGCCATGTAGGAGTCCAGTGCCTCACCATGCAGCTGGTCCTGTAAGACATTTTTACAAACCTTTTTTTTTTTTTACCTGGAATCTGGTGTTCAGCAGACAGGTTTGGTCTAGTGACTGAGGCCGCTGGAGCATAACTCCCATCTTTTTGCAAGTTCCCATTCCCAGTGGTTTCTGGCTCCACTTCAGGGTTTATTTATTTAAATATTTAACTTTATTATGATTATTATTTTCCAGTTTGATGAGAGAGAGAGAGAGAAAGAAAGAGGGAGGGAAAGA